TAAAAAAAATTTAATATTTTTTGAATAATCGCAAAAAATCACAAAAAATTAACATTTTTTAAAAAATAACAAAAAATGAAAAACTTTTGAAAAATAACAAAAAATCACAAAAAATGAAAAATTTTTGAAAAATCGCAAAATATGAAATTTTTTTGAAAAATCGCAAAATATGAAAATTTTTTGAAAAATCACAAAAAATGAAAATTTTTTGAAAAATCACAAAAAATGAAATTTTTTTGAAAAATTGCAAAAAATGAAAATTTTTTTAAAAATCGCAAAAGATGAACATTTTTTGAAAAGCCGCATAAAATCACAAAAAAATGAAAATTTTTGGAAAAATCGCAGAAAAATAAAATTTTTTTGAAAAATCACAAAATATCACAAAAATTGAAAATTTTTTGAAAAATCACAAAAAATTACAATTTTTTGAAAAATCGCAGAAAATCACAAAAAATGAAATTTTTTTGAAAAATCGCAAAATATGAAAATTTTTTGAAAAATCACAAAAAATGAAAATTTTTTGAAAAATCGCAAAATATGAAATTTTTTTGAAAAATCGCAAAAAAATCACATAAAATAAACATTTTTTAAAAAATAACAAAAAATGAAATTTTTTGAAAAATAACAAAAAATCACAAAAAATGTAAAATTTTTGAAAAATCGCAAAATATGAAATTTTTTTGAAAAATCGCAAAATATGAAATTTTTTTGAAAAATCGCAAAATATGAAAATTTTTTGAAAAATCACAAAAAATGAAAATTTTTTGAAAAATCACAAAAAATGAAATTTTTTTGAAAAATCGCAAAATATGAAAATTTTTTGAAAAATCACAAAAAATGAAAATTTTTTGAAAAATCACAAAAAATGAAATTTTTTTGAAAAATTGCAAAAAATGAAATTTTTTTTAAAAATCGCAAAAGATGAACATTTTTTGAAAAGTCGCATAAAATCACAAAAAATGAAAATTTTTGGAAAAATCACAAAAAATGAAAATTTTTTGAAAAATCACAAAAATTTAATTTTTTTGAAAAATCGCAAAAAATGAAAATTTTTTGAAAAATCGCAAAAATCACAAAAAATGACAATTTTTTGAAAAATCGCAATATGAAAAATTTTTGAAAAATCACAAAAAATGAAAAATTTTTGAAAAATCGCAAAATATGAAAAAAATCACAAAAAATGAACATTTTTTGAAAAATCACAAAAATCACAAAAAATGAAATTTATTTGAAAAATCACAAAAAATGAAAATTTCTTGAAAAATCGCAAAAAATCACAAAAAATGAAATTTTTTTGAAAAATCGCAAAATATGAAACATTTTTGAAAAATCGCAAAAAATCACAAAAAATGAAAATTTTTTGAAAAATCACAAAAAATTAAATTATTTTGAAAAATCGCAAAATATGATTTCTTTTTGAAAAATCGCAAAAAATCACAAAAAATAAAAATTTTTGAAAAATCGAAAAAAATGAACATTTTTTGAAAAATCGCAAAAAATGAAAAATTTGTAAAAAATCACAAAAAATGAAATTTTTTTGAAAAATCACAAAAGATGAAATTTTTTTGAAAAATCGCATAAAATCACAAAAAATGAACATTTTTTGAAAAATCTTAAAAAATTACAAAAATTGAAAATTTTTTGAAAAATCACAAAAAATTACAAAAATTGAAAATTTTTTGAAAAATCACAAAAAATGAAAAATTTTTTGAAAAATCACAAAAAATGAAATTGTTTTGAAAAATCGCAAAAAATGAACATTTTTTGAAAAATCACAAAAAATGAATTTTTTTTAAAAAATCACAAAAGATGAAAATTTTTTGAAAAATCGCATAAAATCACAAAAAATGAAAATTTTTGGAAAAATCTCAAAAAATCACAAAAATTTAAAATGTTTAAAAAATCACAAAAAATCACAAAAATTGAAAAATTTTTGAAAAATCACAAAAAATGAAAATTTTTTAAAAAATCGCAGAAAATCACAAAAAATGAAATTTTTTTGAAAAATCGCAAAATATGAAATTTTTTTGAAAAATCACAAAAATGAAAATTTTTTGAAAAATCGCAAAATATGAAAATTTTTTGAAAAATCGCAAAAAATCACAAAAATGAACATTTTTTGAAAAATCACAAAAAATGAAAATTTTTTGAAAAATCACAAAAAATGAAATTATTTTGAAAAATCGCAAAATATGATTTTTTTTGAAAAATTGCAAAAAATCACAAAAAATGAAAAATTTTTGAAAAATAACAAAAAATGAAAATTTTTTGAAAAATCACAAAAATGAATTTTTTGAAAAATCGCAAAATATGAATTTTTTTTTGAAAAATCGCAAAAAATCACAAAAAATGAAAAATTTTTGAAAAATCACAAAAAGTTACAATTTTTTGAAAAATCACAAAAATGAACATTTTTTGAAAAATCGCAAAAGATGAACATTTTTTGAAAAATCGCAAAAAACACAAAAAATTAAAAAAAATTTGAAAAATCACAAAAAATGAAAATTTTTTGAAAAATCACAAAAATGAACATTTTTTGAAAAATCGCAAAAGATGAACATTTTTTGAAAAGTCGCATAAAATCACAAAAAATGAAAATTTTTTAAAAAATCGCAAAAACATTAAAAATTTTTGAAAAATCACAAAAAATCACAAAAATTGAAAATTCTTACTTTTTTATAAATACTTTTTGTTCTTGTTGTTTTTAGTATGTGCCACCTGGGTTGCCTTTGATGCAGTTCCTTTTAAGTTGGCTGTGCAGCACAATCCAGTGTGACCTTCAAAAGCTAGGTTCATACCCGTAGGTCAAAAAGACATGACAATGGAAAACTCTTCAGAGAAGCTGTTTTGTCATTAGGTGTACACACCAGATCGTCTGAATGCAATATGGTATAGGGATCCTTAAGTGCTGTTTTCTAGGTTAAAAGAACGTCCGGAGTCATACAACAGATATGGCAAATGCTAGTATTGGCCCAGTGGCCTAATGGATAAGGCATCACTCTTTGAAGTTGGGGATTGTGGATTCAAGTCCTGTTTGGGTTGTGTTTGTTAGGTTACATTTAAGTTGTTTGAAAAAATCCTGACTTGTCTACTCAAAGCTTAGGTGTGATAATCTGAGGGCAATAGTTAGCTTCCAATTCTCAGACTTGCTGCACACTTCAATTAGGATTCATCCAATCTTGCTTGAATCTCACTGTCATGTTACAAACCTAAAAGGTTCCGCTAAGCTCTGGGAATGGAGATCTTGACTTCAAGTACCCCGTGGCTCTCAATTGACGGTCTCATGTTAGGTGGATGATGATGAAATGCAAACTAGCTGCAGAAAGGTTGTGATTTCAAGTTAATGAGAGTGGCCTTGACTGGAATTCGAAACTCTCAAGACCAGTCACACTATACACTAGAACCATACCCCAGAACCGATGAGACACGAATGTGAATGATTGCAGAAAGAAAATGTTTGGCCATTAGTTCTTATTTGATAGAATGCAAACTGTCATCGAGATCCTAAAGTGCAGTTTTCCATGCAGTAGCATCTTGTTGAAGGCGTACAAGAGATCCTTGATAGAAGATTGGTGACATGGCCCAGTGGCCTAATGGATAAGGCATCAGCCTCCGGAGCTGGGGATTGTGGGTTCAAGTCCCACCTGTGTCGTTTTTGAAAATCTCCCTTTAACTTGAGATCAATGTTTGGTGGATGAAACACAGTAGCTGTGAAAACCTTCTTGAGATGTGTTTGCGTGTCATTAACTTCCTTGATTGGCATTCCATACTACCTGTTATGACTAAAAGGGTAACGAGATACCTAACGCAAATGGCAATTTTGAAGCATGCATGGTGCCTACAGAGAAGAGACTGTGTACAAACACAAAGATGATGCTTACATATTAAGCTGGTACGTTGTTCAAGATCCATAAACAATTCTAACGACTGAATCATTAACGCTCCTTTTTTGTCTGTATTATTGTACAGGGCAGACTAATTTAGATCAGAAATCCACTAAATCTTCATTAACTAAAGTTGCTACAACTAACACAGAAACACCAAAGCATCACTGCTTTTCTGTGGAAGATGTAGGGCTCGTTCAGGATTTGAACCCAAGACCTCTCACACCCAAAGCGAGAATCATACCCCTAGACCAATGAGCCCAGTAGAAACACTCTGCAGTGTCAAAAAAAAATTTCTGTAAAATCGGTCCAATCTACTTTTTGTTCATGTAGTTTTTGTTATGTGTGTCAGCAACTCCCTGGATTCATGTTACAGTTCACAGGCAGTATAGAAACAGCATAGTGGCCTAATGGATAAGGCATCAGCCTTCGAAGCTGGGGATTGTGGGTTCGAGTCCCACCTGAGTTGTCTTTGATGCAGTTCCTTTTAAGTTGGCTGTGCAGCACAATCCATTGTGGCTTTCAAAAAGCTAGGTTCATACCCTTAGGTCAAAAAGACATGACAATTGAAAACTCTTCAGAGAAGCTGTTTTGTCATTAGGTGTACGCACCAGATCGTCTGAATGAAATATGGTATAGGGATCCTAAAGTGCTGTTTTCTGAGTTACAAGAACTTCCTAAACCGTACAACAGATATGGCAAATGCTAGTATTGGCCCAGTGGCCTAATGGATAATGCATCAGCGTTCGAAGCTGGGAATTGTGGGTTTAAGTCCCATTTGGGTTGTGTTTGTTGGGTTAAATATAAATTGTGTGGAAAAAATCCTCACTTGTCCCCTCAAACCTTAGGCGTGATGATCTGAGGTCAATAGTTAGCTTCAAATTCTCAGACTTGCTGCACACTTCAATAAAGATTTATCCAATCTTGCTTAAATTATCCAATCACTTTACAAACATCAAAGGTTCTGAAAAGCTCTGGTAATGGAGATCTTGACTTCAAGTACCCCGTGGCTTTCAACTAATGGTCTCATGTTAGGTGGATGATAATGAAATGCAAACAAGAAAATAGCTGCAGAAGGTTGTGATTTCATGTTAATGAGAGTGGCCTTGTGGATAAGGCATCAGCCTCTGGAGTTGGGTATTGTGGGTTCAAGTCCCATCTAAGTTGTCTTTGAAGGACCACTATAGATTTAATTACAGATCATTTCAACCAATTATTGCAATGAAAAATAAACTGATGCATCAACACATCAAAGCACTCTCTTGCTGACATCAGGGCTTTCCTGTTGCAGTCGGGTGTGCACGTCTCCAACACCACTATAAGACGATACTATAGACATCAAAGCCCTGTAGGCCTTCCTAGAAAAACAACTGCAAGGCAAGGAAAATGAACAGGTATTGTGTATTATCATCTTGTCAAATCAAGTATTTCAGCAACACTTATGTCAAATTGTTAATAAAATGAATTAATAAATTATTGTATGTGTTTGTTGTATAGTGCTGCACTTAAAACGATTGACGAAAAACTGCACAAGGACAATGAGCGATCTGCTAAAAAGATTCAGAGTGAGCTTCTGTTTAGAATACAGTTAAAAGCATCAGTCTGCAATATTAGAAAACCAGTAAAACAACTCAGGTGGACCTATGGAAAAGCCAGGTAAGCCATTTTGAACAATGCCATGATGAAAAGATTTATTTATTTACATTAATCCATGCATCTCTTTATTTAGGCTATTTGCTTTATACGAGCTTACATGTCCTACAAATTTATTAATAGGACATACCCTATTAATAAACCGCCATGTTGTGAAACCGAAAGCAAAGCATCCAGTAAAAATTCATGTCTGGGGAGCCATATTCCATCAGGGACCAAACCGCTAGTTGTGTTAGAAGGTTAGTTCAAATCTCTTTAATATGATTGAATCGTTTCTTTGCAGTTTCTTTATTTATATATATATATTTTTTCTATTTTCAGGAATTATGGACAGATGTTTTTACGAAGACACTATAATAAAATTCAATCAGGCTCCATACGTAAAACAACACTTTAAGAACCATATCACTTCTTCCAAGGTAGATACAGTATGTAGGCCTACTGTACCAACTGTGTGTGTGTGTGTGTGTACATGTTCACTGATGTGTGTGTGTGTGTGTGCACGTTCACTGCTGTGTGTGTTGAACTTTTTTATCAATCTTGATGATTATTGAATAATGAATAAAGTTAACACATTGCTTAAAGGGCACATAGTTTACCCCTTTTTATGATTTAACATTATTATTATGGTTCTTCTGAGTGTGCCAGTTTAGGTTCAGTTCAAAACACAATCCAGATTTTTTTATTATAATGTGTTATAATGTGTCATTTTAAGGGCGTGTACACAGCTTGCTGTTTTACATTTACATTTATTCATTTAGCAGACGCTTTTATCCAAAGCGACTAAAAAATGAGGACAAGGAAGCAATTTACACAACTATAAGAGCAACAATAAATAAGTGCTGTAGGCAAGTTTCAGGTCTGTAAAGTCTAAGAAGGAAAGCATTAGTAATGTAAGAATTTAAACATTTTTTTTTTTTTTTTGAGTACAGTTAGTGGTATAGCTAGAGGCAATTGCAAATTAGGAAGTGAAGAGGAGACTAAATAGTTGAGTTTTAAGTCGTTTCTTGAAGACAGCAAGTGACTCTGCCGTTCTGTTGCAGTAAGGGAGTTCATTCCACCAACTGGGCAGATTGAATGCGAGAGTTCGGGAAAGTGATTACTTCCCTCTTTGGGATGGAACCACGAGGCGACGTTTATTCACAGAACGCAAGTTTCTTGAGGGCATATAAATCTGCAGAAGTGGGAGCAGATAAGAGGGAGCAAAGCCAGAGGTTGCTTTGTAGGCAAACATCAGAGCTTTGAATTTGATGCGAGCAGCAACTGGCAGCCAGTGCAAACGGGTGAGTAGCTGAGTGACATGTGCTCTTTTCAATTCATTAAAGACCACTCATGCTGCTGCGTTCTGGAGTAGCTGAAGGGGCATGTTGCTTCACATGAAAATTAGTTCCAAATTCAGTCGGTCGGTGAGTAAATGAATATGATAAATGAGAACACACAGGCATGTGCGTATAGAGATACAATGTAATGCTGTACAGTAACGTGTCATTTGTTTGTTTCAGTTGTCTTTATTTGAATGGTTTCGTGAGGATGTGATGGTGTGCTTTATCTGCCTGATTCCCTCTGAAGTGGGCGGGTTGTGTGACGTTCGATTTGGGGGACATTATGGGGGCGGGGTTTGCGTGACGTGCTGCGAGCTACTAGCCCGAGAGTGGAAACACAACATGATTTCGGCCTCACTGCTTAACCTCCTGGGCAATTGGCCCACCGCGATTAAATCCCTGGCCTCACCTCACAGCCTCGAAGTCCAATGCGCTATCCATTGCACCACAGAGCCTGAGTGCTCTCCTGCCTCAAGCACTATTGCACAAAAAGCACTTTTTGGTACTCTCTGGCCCATAAAAGCACAGCTCACTGCGGACAAGGTGTAACCCCTCTTAGTTCGTATATGTTTTTTATAATGATCACGCGGAAGCAGTTTACCTGAACAAGTTCACTTTATAGTGTTCTTCAAAAGAAAACAGGGCTCCACACAGACAATAAGTGTACCAGGGCTGGTCATCAGAAAAAGTCACTCTCAACAGCTCTTGAACAATAAGTGAACTCACAAAATGGCCGGCTGACTCCACCCATTATACCCCCTTTCTCACCTGTAGGTGTCTGTTTTTTCCCATGATGTATTACACAGTTAAACAGTGAACATAGGATTTTGATTTAATTAGAACAGATATTTTTAACAAAAACAAGCATTTTGACACCATTCATACTTAATTAACAGTTTCATTTTTTCCCCCGTTACATTCTCCTCCACTGAATGTGACAAAATGCGACAACCTTAGAAAACACAAAAATGCAGAAATTAACCTAGAATTGCCGTTCTTAGCACAAAGCTTTTGATCCGTTTTATTTGTTCAAATCAAGAACTGATAGGAAAAAGTGCTGCGCATATCACTCATCCTGATCATGACCCAAATGACGTGCCTTTAACACATCACACTTGCAATTCATTTCACTTGTTTTCTACAAAGACAGATACAAAAAAAAACATTTCTGACATATTAATGTTTCAAACTAACAACTGAAAAGGACCATTTTCCCAGACTTTGTTTTCTTGAACTAAACAAGGTCTGTTGACTCATGGAAGAAATAAGGCGATTTACTGGCTTCAACAATCTGCCAAACCTTGATCTGCGACCCGGTAACTCAGTGCTATCCACATTACCATTAGGAACAAAACCAGGATCGCAGGCATTAGATGTTTCAGGTCCGTCCTGAAGAATCATAGAATCCATTGAAGTATTCTCAGAACCCGCATTATGCGACGGCACATCAACAATTTCAGCTGAGTTGGAAATGTCACATAACTCATTCATCTGAGAAACATTGTCAGCTACGACAAGACCATCACCATTGTCCATTGAATCATCAGAACTTACAGAGCATCCATCAGAAACGCCATCATCTACAGAAATCACACTCCCATCATCATTTGTCCCCACAGCGTCACATACAGGGAGAAAATTGACACACAAAAGCAGGTTTCTGTGCACAACTTTGACTTGATCAGACACAGGGTGTTTTATTTTGTAAATGTGAGTTTTAGGATCGCAATCAACCACAGTATACACTACACTGTCCCACTTGTCTGAGAGTTTACGTTTGCCACGCTCGCTCTTGTTGGCTAAAAGAACCCTATCACCGACTTCAATATTCACACCCTTATTTCTGCGATTGTATACGCGGGCTTGGTGAGACTGTTCTTTAGAAGCATTAGTCTTTGCAACAGCGAGAGCATCCTTCAAGTCCCTACTCAGAGACTCAACGTACTTGGGAAGAGCAACATTCAAATCATCCCTCAACACACTCTTAAAGATGACATCAATCGGTAGTCTTGGGACACGGCCGAACATTAGATAGAAGGGAGGAAATCCGGTAGTCTCATGTGAGGTACAATTGTAAAGAAAAGTCAATGTGTGAAGCATCTGAGGCCAGTCATGCTTTGGTCGAGGCTCAAGAGTTCTGATCATATTTCCCAATGTTCGGTTGAATCGCTCAGCGGTGCCATTCCCCATTGGGTGATATGGGGTAGTTTGAGACTTCTTAACCCCTGAGAACTCAAGCAAGTGTCTGATTAGCTCGCTACAGAAATTGGCACCCTGATCAGAATGAACACGCTCTGGGAAACCATAGTAGCAGAAATAGTTATCCCAGAGCTTCTTTGCCACCGACCTAGCAGATTGGATTGAACAACAGAAGGCATGGGCAAGTTTAGTAAAATGGTCGGTGACCACTAATACGTCAACTGATTTATTTCGTGAATCCTCTGCCGTCCAAAAGTCAATGCAGACCAATTCAAGTGGAGCAGAGGTCTTAACACTTTCCAGTAAAGCCCGTCCCTCTGGCTCCGGTGTCTTCGCAAGCACACAACGACTACACACTTTCACATACTCACGTACATCCTGCTCAATACCTGTCCAATAAAAACGCTGACGGCAAAGGTGAAGAGAACGATACTGCCCTTGGTGTCCAGCCTCATTGTGACAACCCCTCAACACTTCATCTTTGAGTGACGAAGGCACTACAAATTGGAAACGTTTATGATGTGTCAAAGGATCTTTTGAAACACGATACAGGACACCTTCAGCCAAGGATAGTTTGTCCCACTGCTTTAAAAGCTTCCGTACAGCACTAGGCTCTCCCATACGCACACGCCTGGAAGGCCTACGTTTCTGGTGAACATAGAACATCACCCTCTGCAAATGTTCATCCTGGAGTTGACTGTCTCTTAGTTCTTGGTGAGAGTATGAGGGAAGAGCATCAAATCCAACCTCTATGATTTGTTGGACAAATCCAACCAAAGGAATAGTTCGCATTCTCGTCGCATCATCCCAAGAAAGATGATTGGAGAAAACAGCAGCCACCTCAGCATTCGAAAAACTACCCGGCCCATCCACGTCTGGAGCAACCCCCATCCGATCACAAGCATCCGCCGAGACCTCCACACTGCCGACCACTCGCTGACAGGCATTGGACAATCTGAAAAGATCCTGGACAGTAGCGCAAGTATGATTTCTTGACTCTGCAATAAGCTTTTCATAAGGTTCCCTGACTATGCGATGGCTAACCCGACTGTCAACAAAAGGTTGCCTACTCAAAGTGTCAGCTATTGTGTTCTTCGACCCTGGAACATATTTGATGTCAAACTCAAAGGCAGCGAGTTTAGCCACCCACCTTTGTTCACAGGCGTCGAGCCTAGGTTTGGTCAAAATGTGCGTCAATGGGTTATTATCTGTCCAAGCTGTGAACCGATGCCCTTTTAGCCAGTGGCTAAACTTGTCACATACAGCCCACTTAAGCGCGAGGAACTCAAGACGATGTGCTGGATATCTGGCTTGTGCTCTGGACAGTGATCTACTCGCAAACGCAATGGGCCGAGCCCTGTTCTCTCCAGGACTCAGTTGCGAAAGCACAGCACCCAACCCTTCAGTTGATGCATCAGTGGCAAGAATAAAAGGTCTAGAAAAGTCAGGGTGTGCAAGGACTACATTAGACAGAAGGGCTTCTTTCAATGCAGACAAAGCTGCCTCACATGCTGGAGACCAATCATCGGGAGTAAGCTTTCTAGTTATAGAAACCCCTCTGCGTCCCACTCCTCTGGCCTTCCTAACTCCACTAGTCAAAGCAAAAAGTGGCCGTGCAAGGGACGAACAATTCTCAATGAACCTTTGGTACCACATGACGAGACCAAGAAAGGACTGAATTCTCTTAACCGACGGGGTTGCACCATCAGGGCACATTAAATCTGCAGAAGTAATATTAGCAATTGCTTCAACTTTACTAGGGTCCGTTGACACACCCTCTTCTGTGATTAAATGACCAAGAAATTTTACAGAGCGTCTTAAAAAATTACATTTTTTTGGAGACAATTTCAAATTGTGCTTTTTCAACATTCCGAAAACCATTTCGAGCCTCTGTAGTGCAACCTCTTCACTGGGTGCAAATACCATTAAATCATCCAAGTAGCACAACAGAGACAAGAAATTTTGAT